GGCAGAACCGCACGCCTACAGCAACGCACATAACATGAAAATGTCTTAATCATTCTCTAGCAGCTGCCCGCCGTGCACACTTAGAACAGGAGAATCAAGCACAAGGCAAAGAGAGCCCAGACGGCCTATCTCCCAATCCTGAAGACAGCTAAGAGAAGCAGCGCTGCGAGGAAGGCAGAGACGGCCTTTGGTCATGAGGGGCTGAAAAAGAACAGCACCTTTGCCAATGCAGAAGCGAGAGCCAATGCAAATTCTTGAGTCTGCATATCATTGCTGGAACAGCCGGCGATGACGGCTGCGAAACAGCAAAAGCAGCAGCAGCATCAACAGCAGATTCAATGCAACAACACCAGCACCGCAACCATACAAGCGAAGTGCATATTACTTCTTGCACTCGGAATATACATACTGTCCTACGCCGGCGACTGCCCCCACTACCTGCATAATATGAATTGCAACAGAGACGGCGCACCCTTTGACAAGACCCCATTCATGTGGGGGGCGACCTGCACAAACCCCGCAGTTGTAATCAGCCCGCTGCACCTCCATAGTCATCCTTTTTAACATACAGCAAGCGCAGGCTAAACCCCAACCTAATTTTCATAGGGGGATTGAAACGGGCAACACCACAAGTCTCTCCTTATCTACACTGAGCAAGGGCAGCAGCAATACTAGCAGAAAAAGCCAAAGCAGCAGCAGCCGCCAGCCATGAGGTGCAGCGCAGCCAGTGCTGACGTACGAAGGCGAGGGTCTCGGGAGACGGATCCTCCCCCTCCTCAGGTGCCAGCCCCGAGAGGAAGGAGGCGAGAGCCAAGAGGGCCTGTCTACGGCAGCGGACAGAAGGATCCTCGGCGCTCCTTTCAGAGAGAAGGGATAGCAGCTGTCCTCCGTGTTGTTGCTGCACCTGCTGCGTCCACTTCTCTTCGTTCTCCACCATCGAGCCCAAGCACTTCAACCCTTGCCAACGCAAGCGGGCATCTGCCGCCTTCAACGCCGCAATGCAGGTCATCGTCAGCTATACACAAAACAACAGAACGTCACGAACTATATCAAGATGCAATCCTCTCATTCACGAAGGAGTACACAGGACACCTCCTTTCCACCAAAGACCCGTAGGTGCAGCAAAAGCAGTAGCAGTAGTAGCAGCAGCAGCAGCAAACGCCGAAATGGCAGCAGCAGCAGCCGACGAGGAGGGAAGTGTTTCCCGGCGCCTCTACAAGCGCCTGCTTACTTTGTCTACATAGGGCCCTAGGAGAGGCCTGCATGTGTCATCGTCCAGCAGCAGGGCCAGCAATTCAAGGGCGGTGTAAGAGTATCGGGGATCCTCTTGTTCAACTAACAACGAAAATATGTTCATAAGCTTCGACAGGACGTGCGGGCCCCCTGCGAGGCATTCGGTCAGGATATGAACAACCAAGCCAGCTGCAGGTGTATACCTTTTCATATATACACACGTTGTCGAGTGTAAACACCCTTAGTGAGCTGGCTAAAAGAGAGAGATTCTTCTCTGGCAAGAGCGGGGAGGATAGAGGGGCAACAGCTGCGCACCGGTCGAGGAGGTCCCCGCCTCCGCGTAGCCCCCATCAGCCCCTGGTTCTTGAGCAGAGCCGCATAGCATGGAGGCGATATCTGCCATCAGCTGCAGGGCCACACTGTGTAGTGTCTCTTCTCCTGTTTCCTCCTCTCGCGTCTGCGCTTCCCACGTTGTCAAGTCCTCCCAGTCACTAGGTGAAGCCGCCGCTGCGTCTGCCAGCAACATCAGCAGGTCGTCTACGAGCGGCAAGTGCTGCACCCCCACACAAGGCATTCAAAACACTTAAACCCTAACCCTCAAGTGGGTATACGGGCCCGAACCCTAAACCCTTCTTCATACAAGACGGAATATTGTAAGGAGAAACGAAACGATACAGAAAATCACACTTGTAGCGGACAGGCGAAACAACAAAATAAATGTAATGAAATACTTTCTCTCCTACATATGTACAGCGATGAGCTCGTAGGAAGAACGGACCTTTCTTGCGAACTTGGGGGC